TTATTTTATTTTTTATTTTATTGCATGTGCTTTTTGCACATGAAGGAGTACAACTTAACCAACGAAACAATGTAAAATAATGTACAAACTCTATCCTAAGAATGAATCCACTGGGAAAGGATTTTTGCCGCTGGCCTGGCTTACAACCTCTCCTAGGTGGGCTTAACACGAATCCCTTGCTATACATGCACAAATCGCCGGTTGAACCTGCTTTCACGTAGTACCTGTGGTGGAAGCATCTGAGGGCTGGATGGACCACTGAGGTACCTTCCGCGCCCCAATCATACCATTGGTGGCGCTCCTTTCGCCGCGAAACGACTACTTTACCCTCTTTACAGCCCTATTTTTCTTTCACAAGCATCCATTATCACCATTTTGCCTCCTTTCTATTGCGACGTCTGTTTTATGAAGTAGGAAGGCTAGAATAGTTCCTCTCACCCCTTCATTCCTATTAATCTCCTCCTCAACTTCACCCTCCCCACTGCTCAGCTGACCTCATACCTGTCCAGAGTGCGATGGGCCAGCAGTTGCCTCCTTGTGGACCGCCCTTGCAAGGTGCTCTTCGTTGGGAATCCTGCTGTATTAGGTGTAAACTTAATGCCATTCGATTACCTTCACTAGGAGTAAACGGGGTGGCGGAACTTAGAATATACTTGCATACGGTAAGTCAATTGAGGGGTTACTGTAATGTGCCTCGCCCTCCTCAGACCTGCCTAGGGGTGACCTCATTTAATTGCTTGCGCTGACCTCTTCCTAACTAAACGCTCAAACAGAATATTGATTGTGCAACAAAGTTATCGAAACGACATGTATTATTAACCTGCACCATCACCACGGGGCTGCTTCGAGTGTTTTGAAGGCTGTCGGGAAACTACAACTCCCCACGTTTCCCCTTCAAAACTGCCATGGAGGAGAATGCTGGGGTGGGGAGGGTGCTCATATATGCAGAAACATAACAAATGCTTCATTTTTTATTTCACGCTTTTTTCAAAGCTTACCACGAAATCGTCAAAATCATCTGAAACAACCATCTCTTACAAACGCGACCTCCTTGACTTCCCTCTCCTGACTTCTATCGAACTGACTAATTTGACTTCTGTAACCCTAAAAACAACTCCCATTCTCAAAAAAATACGATCCCCGTGTCGGTTGGCTAAACTCACGGTTGACTCTGACTCCATCCACTATCCGACCGATAGAGATGATGGTGGAATGGCAATATTTACGGGTTGAAGTTTAACAAGAATATTTGGGTATGAACAAAACTTCCGCCCCAGGTGGGACTCGAACCCGCACCTCTCGCTTTCCGGGCAAGTGCGCTACAGTTACGCTACCGGGGCACCATTTCATTCCCAACTCAGCTTTTCATGGTACTTACCATAGCTTGCCAGCACTCACACGTATAATGTATTGAGCTAATATCGGGGAAAATGTAATTCTTGTTATGGAAACGTCAGATGTGATGGTTCCAGTGGATGATCCTCGCTCCCCTCCTCCTCACCTACCTATTACCGCTAGTATGATTCGAATACGATTCGAACAAGAAACAAGGAAGTGGATAGTCTGCGCTATGGAAAGCACCCTTGAACTAGGTCTGGGAGGGGAGAAATGCTGGGGAATTCGGAAATTGCTTACGTACCCATTAGTCCCTGGGTCTGGTTCACTAGGACAGAAAGCGACTTTTAGCGTGAAACATTTTTCGGGTCCACCAGTGATCAGCGGTGGACCTGAGATCCCCGCAGCGAAAAACGTTTCGCGCTGCAAAACGTGAAAAAGTCGCTTTCTGTCCTTGTGTACAAAACTCATAATTCCTCTCCCTCCCTGAAGCTCGATCCTAGAACTGCGTGCTAGTCTAATTCTGAAAATTGATTCTACGCGTCATCCCCCACGTGGCTCACTCAGTTCTTTCGAGACTTGGGTTAGCCAGACGCTCTCTCGTCGAGTCTTTCGTTAAGGGAGCACATACGAAGGTAAGGCCGCGCCATGTGGATTCCAGAAACATTCTTCTATACTTTATGATGAAATTGATGCTTATCGCGATTTTAACTGAACCGGCTTAGTGTGCTAAAATATCCTTTCTCCCCAACGACAGTGCTTTTCGAAGAAATTACTGATTTCTAAGTCCTTAAAAGAGCTCAGTTGCTTTGGTAGCCCGCAGCCAGCACGGCCTTCACTATTCTATTAGTTTTCTGCAGAAATGTAAAGAAATTAACCGAGTTTTTGTGTAAATAGTGAGTAGGTACTGGTAAGCTGCTCTAGTCTCAATAGAAACCAGCGTTGGAGGCGCAGCGGCTGATGTGGCGCGTGCTACGACATTTCGGTGACGTGGCCGGCGATCGTGCTCAATTCCAACTTCTTAGCATAGCGCACTCACTGATCTCGTATCAGGATCAGGTCAACATGATTTATACGCCCAACGAAACGTTTGTTTTTGACCTAATTCACCTTTACGCGAATTATTCTCCTCGATTTATGGGGCTACTCTGGTGTACCCGTTTTAGCTAGTTACTGCATTTATTTCTGGATTTAATTTGTAGGTGTTTTAGCAGTGTCTGTTTTCATTTGTCCAACTTCTGAATTAGAATTGTATTTCTGAATGTTTTTGTTGAATGGTATTCCTTCGATACAGCGTGATTAAATGTTTGTTCCATTTAATGAATTCAATAGAAGAATTTTTGGCAGACCTTAATTATTATGCTACGTTTCTAATTATCTTCTAGAATGTGATTTACGAGAATTTCAATTCGAGTTCAGTAATCCTATTTGTAGATCTGTTTGTATTCCATTTCATGCATTTGTATTAAAACGAATTATCGAAGTTTGGTACTAATCAACTATTGAACCCCAAAATCTCAAAATGTTGTTTCTCGCTAAAGCTATGTTTTTGGGGATAACTCGATGCCCTGATTACGGAAATGACATCAATTCTCGGAGTTTGGCGCCAATTTTGTGACGGTTGTGTCACCAAATTCGGTGTAAGCTTCCGAATAGGGGTTATTTGATGCGTCACTACGAATATGACTTCCTTCTTCGACATTTTTGGCTGTTTGATGCAAACTTCCTGCTTTCCTGGGCTCTCTCATCGTAGTGCCCAAGGGCGCATGCATAGTCAGTCGTCCGATCGCAACGGTCGCACAGCATTGGGTGCGTATCGATCGTCAGGCTTGCCGGAGTATTTGACGATCGATACGTACCCCCGCCTTCTGGCATTGGCACACGTGGCTAAATTTTCGATGAAAAGGTGACATCACGTGTGCTCAAAGATGTTCTTGAATCGATGCCACGTTAATGCCACGTCAATTTCTGCAATTGCACAATTTCTGGTCATTTGAAGGCGAGGGTATCTAGCGCTGCGACCACTACGATCATGACGATCGTAACTGTGCATGCGCCCTAAGCTAACTGTGGCCTACGGACTCTAACTCGATCTTCTAAATCTCCTCAATTTGAGCTTCCGCCTGCGCTTCTCGCCTAAACACCGGCTCCTGACTACGTGGTCTCACAATCCAAGCTCTTGCACTTTCGCTACATTGTAAGGCTGGTGTCAGAGTTCGCGATCCGTCGCACTTTTCGCTGATTTTCGCGATTCACGCGATTCACGCGAAATCACAAGTGCCCGATCAATACTGCAAGGTGTTCTCCAATCCTGCCGCCACTTCTGCTTGATAGTGATGGCTGAATGACGACTGCTCATGATTCCACTTGTTTCATATTCAGTGTTTCAAATGTTCACACACTTGCAATTTTTTTTCGCGATCGCGCAAATCGCGTGAATCGCGCAAATCGCGAAAATCAGCGAAACCTGCGACGGATCGCGGACTCTGACACCAGGCTAATTGGCTCACCTAACCCCTCCCACCTCCGAGGCTTAGTCTTAGGAGGGGGGGGGGTGGCCTCGTAATGGGTAAACCACGCACCGTGTGGCAAAAGTTGACGTGTGTGGTATCACACACAGAGTGACTTCCATTCGGAGCCTGCTCTCCCTTAATGCCTAGGCCTGATTGCAGTCCAGTCCGTGAGAGGATGCAGAGGAGTAGAAAATATTCGCCAAATGACACCCTATTCCGTATCAGGACATAATGTAAGCCCTGTATACAAGTTTGAAGTGAATTTGGTAAAAACCTTCGTAACAGTGACGCCAACGCCGAAAAATTGACGTCATTTCCGTAGTCTTGGCATAGACTTGCTCTTATAAGCAAAATTTCGACGAAAAATTAAGTAGTTTTTGGGGTTGTAATAGCTGATTAGTGCCCAGTGCTGGAATGTCTTAATGAACTGAACAATTGGTTCTCAATGCTGCGCTATTTGTGAAGATTCCAGAGTACTTGGGTGGCGAGAATGAACATCTTCCGACTCTCTGCCGATCTCGCCCATTTGGTCGCCATCGTCATTCTACTCCACAAAATATGGAAGTCTAGAAGTTGCGAGGGTAAGTTTCTTATTTCTTCATTGTTTACCGAATCCTCATCTTTTCATGATTTAATGAAATAAATTTGAGGATTATCTGGCCGATCTCAAGTCTTATTTGCTATTGTTTTTGTGTCTCGTTATTTGGATCTATTTACCAATTTCATTTCTGTCTACAATACTGTGATGAAGGTACGTTTCCTCTTTTAATGGAGGAAATTCTTAATATTTGATTATTTCTGGAGTATTTGTTGGCAAGCTTAAGAAGTTCCCCTCATATGGGCACGCTTCCTGTTTCTTTCTTACCTTAATGTTTTTTTTTCCTTGACATATTTCTGATTGTTACGTTTCTGCAGTCTGAAAGTATCATCATCATCTATATTCCAGTAGAAGGTATTGTGAAAGTCTTCCCTCATTTGCTTTCCTCACTAGTCGCTTGTTCGTTCCATTTTTTACTCTTAACAACTAAAATCCTTTCTTGAAGCTTGCACTACAGTATGAAAATTTGATCCCCCATAGTTTTAATCGTTGATTTGTTGTTCTACTTATTTTATAACTTCTCATTTTTTCTGCAAACATTTTCGATCTCTTAGGATTTCCTCTTCATTCACTCAAAAGTTATTTGCAGGTGTTCTTCCTCGCTACTTCCATTGGAACTGTGTATTTGATGTGGATTAAATTCAAGGCAACTTATGACAGGTCGGTTACGCTTGACTTTTGATGAACATCTGGTCATTACGTTTCCATGAAAATTGAACGATTTTTCCGTAGCACTAAGTTTGTCGCTTTCAACATAGCATTTTTAATACTTCTGGTGCTGGGGTAAACTCACTAATATAATCCAACTTCACCGCTATACTGATTTCGACTTTTAAGTGCGTATGTGAAATCTTTAATGTCCAAATCAGATCCAATGATCGTGGTTTTGAAGGCCGCGCAAGCGCTTTAGTTTTCTGAACGTAATGCATTTCTTAAGACTTTGTTGCCCGCCCTTGAAAATCGCTCGAATCGGTTAGGCTGGTGTCAGAGTCCGCGATCCGTCGCAGGTTTTGCTGATTTGCGCGATTTGCGCGACGGGTCACGGAAATCACAAGTGCCCGATCAATACTGCAAGGTGTTCTCCAATCCCGCCGCCACTTCTGCTTGATAGTGATGGCTGAATGACGACTGCTCATGATTCCACTTGTTTCATATTCAGTGTTTCAATGTTCAAATGGGGCACTTGCAATTTTTGTGATCCGCGCGAAGCCTGCGACGTATCAGAGGAATCGAAAGTGCCCCATCCCCCCCCCCCTACTTTTTTCACGTTTTATGGGCGCCGCGGCGAGCACGGCCGAGCCGGTAGCGCCCGCGAAGTGTGCGGGAAATTTGAAAATGTTCCAGCACAGTTCGCGGGCGCCTTGTGTGTGTTGTGCCTTGTGTACTCCTGTGATCCATCGCAGGTTTTCGCGCAAATCGCGAAAATTGCACAAATCAGCGGAACCTGCGGCGGATCGCGGACTCCGACACCAGCCTTAGAGATCATAGCTGTGCACCGTTCTTGTCTATAAGGCAACGCCGAAATTCGGCCTGGCATGCTTTGCCGTGTAGTGTCGTAATGGAAGTTTGGCAGCTCCCGTTCCACGGTTCTTCGTCGGAGCTATCCGACAGCGGCCCCTATAGCCATGACCCTGCCCTTTCTGTATCCTCATCTTCTGTCTCCGCCAACGCTGCCGTGTAAAAAGCTCGAGATGGTGAATAGGTTCAGTGAGGAACTATACGACCACTTTGAGTCCCAGCTTTGTCTTTCTGAAAGAGGGGACTGAGAAGCTGCCGAGCGCTGACGAGGGGTACTAGATGAGGATGGTGACCGCAATCTCCACGCCACTTTATTTTCGAAATACTCTTAGAAGGACCAAGCTGAGAAGCTTCATTAATACCTGGTGTGACCGTTTGCAATCCACATAGTAGGGGAATCACAATCAACAGGTTCACTCTTTCCAAGAAGGTAGTTACATTAAAAATCCATACATTGATCATTGTCTGAGCAACGCAGAATAGTTGTAAGCATCTTTGAAAGGGGTCGTGCTTGTCGTGTGCTCGACAGTGGTTCTCCCTTGACTGTGGCAATCTGCTAAACTGCACTTGCTCACTTTTGCGTAGATTTTTGTGTTAAAATTAAAATGTTCTTGAAGTCGATTCTTAAGTTTTCTCCCATCTTCATTTAGGTTCGTTTTAGAGAAGCTAGAAAGTAGACTTTCTAGACTAGAAAGTTTTCTGTGGATAGACTAAACCAACATGTCCTAGAATCATTCTAAGTGACCTGTTTTGGCATGTGGCTTTTTCCGGTCTCAGGACATCTGTCAACCGTGAGGCTTGGCGGTTCAGCGTTTTGTAGTGATGTCTGGGAGCTCTCACAAGTGCACACTATCACAGCATCTCCTCTTTCTTTATCTTCTTCAAAAGGCTTAGTCCCAATAAGACACAAAGTGTGTGCTTTTCCAGCTACGCTCTCACCCTTTGGTTGACAGAAGCCTTGTAACCGTTTTTTCCTATAGATCCATCATATTTGAGATATTATTATCGAAGCTGCTAGCAAACAGAATCCTCATGAACTCAATGCATTTTCAAATTTCTATTCATGCGTGATTTCAGAAATAATGATTCTCTACGTATAGAGTTTTTGGTAATTCCTGCTGCCATCCTAGCTCTCTTGGTAAACCACGAATTCACATTCATGGAGGTGAATGGTTTTTTTTGTTCGACATTCAATGAAAATTGTTCTAGTTGTACTATTCAAAAGTATTTATTTTACAGATAATGTGGACATTTTCTATTTATCTTGAATCAGTTGCCATTATGCCGCAACTTTTCATGCTCTCGCGTACTGGTAATGCTGAAACAATCACCGCTCACTACCTGTTCGCTCTTGGATCCTACCGTGCACTTTACATTGTCAACTGGGTCTTCAGGTGAGGAGTGATACTGTTATAGCGTCAGCATTGCATGCACTTCTTTTTAAAACACATTTTGATCGTACACAACGGTTTTGTTTCTACTGACAATGAGACTGTTTTATGACGGTGCGATTAAAATTTGCTATCATTTTGGACTTTCCCACGTTATTGGTACCACGCAGGAATTTGTTATTGTTATCAAATAATGAAGCAGATACTCATTCCTAGTGCGACCAGACTTCAGAGCCCTTTCCCGTTTAAGTGCGCGAGTAGAAAGCAGAAGTGATGCAAGAATTCTCGTGCATGCATAGACCATATGTGGAGTCTAGTTGTAGCCGTAAAAGAGAAGGTTAACTTCTGAGGGACTTACTCGTAGTGGGCTCTGTTAGTTTTGTTAGCTTAGAGTTCATGATTGTTATATATGTTCGAGAAAAAGCGGATGCGATAACTGAATGAATCTATCTCTAGATACTACACCGAGAACTTCTTCGATCCTATCGCCGTGGTTGCTGGAATTGTGCAAACTGTTCTTTATGCTGACTTCTTCTATCTCTACGTGACGAGGGGTGAGTTATACTTCACTAACTAGACTGTTATCATAGGCACCTATCCTGGCGTTGCTCATTTGAGTATTGTGGATATTCTTTCAATCACAAAGATTCAATCTAAGGAATGCCCTTTTTGTGCATCATTGAACGTGTGTCTTGAACTGTGAAGTTTTGATGGAAATTTCTCTACAGACGCCAACCATTTTAAGCTTTTTGCGAGAAAAAAAAGCGAAAAAGAGAAGAGAGAGGAAAGAAAGTGTTAAATGACACATCTGGTCTTTGCGATGCTTCGAAAATTGAGCAGCCAACTTGATCATTGTAAGATTTCAGTAAAGAAGGTACAAGGGCTCTCCTCGAGTTAACTTGCTTGCTGTGTAGCGTTATCTCATGCTGAAGTGAAACTCGGAAATTACGAGCGCTTCCATGTAATTGGTAGTTGGTATAGAAAATTTTAAAAGAAAGGGATAAGAGGAATACAGTGATGGTTGCCATTTTGGTTCTGAGAGCAAGCAGTATACCTCCACCGACCCCCTTTGGAATTCTCTGATGAGTAAACACGATTTTGTCAAATGTTTCCGAATGAATTTGACTTTTTTCACTACAAAGTTACCGGATAGTTTCTAGGACTACTGTTTTCCACTAAAGCTCTGACTTTGTGACGATGCCATTAAGAGCATTATGAAAATATTCCGAATTTATCTGATCAAGGGGAGTGCGTGTTGGTGCAGTACTTTCGCAGTATTAGCACTACAGCAACTCCAACTTTAGCAGGGGAGGGAGCTTCCGCAAGCGTGAACCGTATCGGATCTTTTTCACTCACCAGCGCTCCCCCCTCTGTTAAAATTGTAATCTCATGCCCCCTTCTGGTGACATGGACCCCAGATTTTCTGAAATACGCTTGATGTATCCTTAGTGTGCAATGAATTGCAAAGTTTCAAGGTGTGTAGTGGCGCAATCTAGCTATCCTTCCGCATGCATCATTTTTTCATGAGATCTTTTTCGCTAAAAGAGTTTTTAGCAATCAAAGCGTGTGATTTCAGTTTTGCAATCGAATCGTCAATTTGAAATGCCTGCATAAGTCTTGCAATTTGGACTGATCAAATGCGAGTGCGATCGAGAGTCGGTCTCGCGAACTAAGTTGTTGTCCAACGCTCGTGTACACGCTAGTCTCTAACTTTTCTATACTTGAATGCGTGTCACTGATCACGAGTGGTTGAGTTGATTGTATCATCGCCTTTTGTTCTCTTTTCTTTGAAGTATATGTATTTATTTGTTGTTTATTGAGACTAGGTTTCTGCCGTGAGTGTTCCCTTCGTTGAGGACGACATAAATATGGTGTTTGGGTCAATAAAATGTTCTTTTTAGGCGTTCGAGAAGTTTCAGTTTGAACACTTCTTTATTCCTCGCTTACTTCCACAGTCGGCAACATGTAAATCATGAATTACAGTTGGGCCAGGGTCAACCGTCCGTTGGACAAAGTCCAACGCGACGACGAGAGTAATGCCGAGAGTGAACGTACGCACGGAGACACAGACGGCTCGCGGGTGGCGAGAGTGAATGCCGGCGCGGAGAGCGGTGAACATCGGTCCAACGTCGCTCCAATATCGGTCCAACGTAACGGTTGACCCTGGTTGGGCACCGTATTACTTGGACATTTTAGCTTTGGCACGGTATTTCCACGGTGATGTGGCAGGGGTACAAGTCTGTTTACGGACTACTTGATTTTTCCTCAATGGTCCTGCCGCGATGGCTAGAGCACAGACGATTAGAGAACGGGTGAATGCCCTAGGACTAAGCCTTGGAGAGGAGAGGGACCCGCGAGAGAGCGCAGAGGCGGTTAAAGGGCTGAGTTCCAGGTAGTCGACCGTAGAAGTCAGTCGACCGCCTTCTTCAGCGACAGGGTGGCATCATCACAATATTCACAACAGAATCTTAATTAGTGCCTGATTCACTTATCAACGATAGCCTACGCTTTGATGATGACTTGGTATGAACAGAAGTTTTCTATGAATGCCTCAGGAAAAAAAGGAAACAGGGAGCTCGTCGAGAAATCGATCCTACCATCTCTTATATGTGAGCAGGCACTGTTCGTGTTCTGTTACTTGAAAAAAGCCACTTCGATCTGTGATCCTTCCCTTCGAGCGGGACTTTTAGCGTTCAACGCCTTACAGTCGTTTTATCTTGAGAATGGTTCAGATTAATAAAATAGCGATGATTTTGTGAAAAATTAAAGTGCAGTGAATGGTGGTGATATGGAATGATTTATTCCTGGAAAGTATCCGAAAATTAAGATCTAAGCGATTTTCGAGCGCGTGCCAAATTGAAATAGCAAGACGGCCAACCGCTTTTTATGAACAAAAAAACTAAGAAATGAGATCTTCTCGATTTTCCTACCGTTTCACACATATTCCATTGTGAAACAACCTACGACTACCAAAAATATTAGGTTGGAAAGAAAGTCCTGCAACACTTTTTCAAATTTTTGATTTTAATTTTATCTTTTTTGCAACTCCTGACCGGTCTTATATCTACCATGAGTGTCCACCACTTGTCTTCAACGCTCAGAAAATTTCTTGATGCTCCTTCGCCAAAACCCAGCGGAGTGCGGGTCGAGAAAGGAGGCGACCTCACTTTCGAGTTGGAGTTGATCGTCTAATTATTTCGTTATCAAGATGATGATTAAAGGTCCAGGATAGGTAGCAGTCATTTACAGCTCGACCAGGGGAATACGCTAAGAGAGGTAAGAAATCTTGCCGCAACTCCAGAATTTCTTACCGGGCTCATTTCGGATCATGGTGATTCGCAATGTCATGAAAGAAATGAATATTGTCGCGGTACGAGGGCTCTTGACGAGCTGCCTCGGCCAGCTTCTGGTATTTCACAGCCTAGGCCTCTGCCTACACAATGGTGCCGTAGTGGAGCTTCTGTAAGAGCCCTACCTGTAATGGAGTGTGAGGGACGCTGCTGGCTTCTTATAAAAATATCAAAAGATCGGAAGCGCTGGTAAAGGTGAAACACGCTGTAGCGTGAACGGCATGCCTATTGAAGCTATTGCAGATAGTGTCAGTCGTTGACACGAATCCATAGTTTTGGAGACATTTGTACTAGACAGTGACTCGGAGTACGGATTTACTAGTGGTCGAGGTTTTTTGAATTTTCTTGGATAACTACTGACTGCAGCACTTATATCCACCTCGTGGATTGAAGCCTCGAGAATGCTCTACCATTTGTTAGTCATAAATGTTACCTATGAATTTTTCAGAAAAAAAGAAAATTTTAGAAAGAGTGTTGCAGAACTTTCTTTCCAACCTAATACATTACCGCAAATTTAGTTCATTGCATAAGGAATGGAATTTGTTGACATGAGAATGGTGCAGTGAAAAGTGCATAGTAAAAGGAGAATTTACCGATTCAAAAAAAAACTGAAATTCTCACGAAAATCTCGATCTCGCCGAAGAAATTCAGATACATCCTATTCAACTAAATGATGATATCTTTAACAAAAATAAGCCGTCAATCCCACCTAATATGCCACTCGAAGATTGAAGACCCCTCCTCTACTAACGGAGTGTTGAGGTTGATGCACCTTCCCCCTACCCTTTGGATCCTTCTGGGCTCTCAAGTGGGTGTGGAACACGCCCAGCTTTTCACGCATGTCAAGTGACTGCCCTCACCCCCTAGATTGGCTACACTCCCCCTGGCTCACGAATTCCCGATTCTCGTGACAGTATAGTAGCGGGCAGCAGTCCCACTTACATACATTTCTGTTCAAAAAATGCGGCGTGCCCACCCTACTTGTATAGCACTTACAGGGCTCCGGTGTTGTAGCTCTGTGGACGGCAAGGAGATTAATAGTGGGTGCGCTAAATCGTCGATCGATTGATAGGAGCCTTGCCTCGTTGGAACTGCCGTTGGGCAGAAATCCAAATATGAAATAAATATGTTCATCTAAGGCGATACAAGAAATAACACACATACTTGAATTCAAAGCAAGCACCTCTGCACAGCTGTATAAAACCTATGCGAAGTTCGTTGAAAAGTTTTCCCTTTGATCTTCGCTATCTTCACTGATCGGATATCGGATATTCGCTCTTGATCTACCATGTCGACGGCTGCCGATAATGCTTTGTCGAATCGAAATCGAGGGACCGGCAAAAAAACGACCGGAAACCTTTTTGAATAGATCCTCTTGAATCTGTCGATTTTAGGAACCAGATATACCTCTCATAATCTTTACATGGAAAAATCGTGCATATCGCACGATAATTTCCCAGTAAACGTTGCTTATTATTCCCTAATCCCTATTTCACTGTTCATGCCAATTCAATTGTAACGTAATTTCCAACTTGAAAACATCCTTCCATGGAGCATCACAATCAGGAAATTGTGCACAATATGAGAATATTGCGTGTGCGAGCTCGATCTGTGAACATTGATTGGCTTAGTACAATGAGATAAATGGTGAGGCTGTCCCATACCATGAAAAGCCTGATGCACCGTAGACGGTCGAATAAATCAATCATGAAGGAAATAATATTTATTCGAATGAAGTGAATATTTATAAGAGTTTATCATTCCGTAAACGATTCGTCTCGTCTCAGCGGTTTCAGCACATTACCAGCAAATTGTCCTGCTCTATTATTGTTACCAGCGGGGCGATAAAACGCTACAATCACTTGGTCGCCTGGTGCTGCTAATTTACCGCTTCTAAAATTTGAAGTCTATCGTTCAATCAATAACTAAGGTAGAAGTTGTTGTTATTTATTTGTTTGCATGTTATTTTATATTGAGCAAATATATAGGTACCGTACTGGGCAACAGAAGGACTAAAATGTCCATCTGTGACGCGTGCCTAGACTGTCTGTGATTAGTGACGGGTACCCGACAGGAGAAGGAGAGAAGGCAAAAACGCAGACGGATCAACGGACGAGTCGCAGCGCATGCTTTGTGGTGGGCACTGTGGTATTGTGGTATTCTATAGCTTGCTGAGAACTCTGCAGTACGCGCTGCGACTCGTCCGCCGACCCGTCTGCGTCGCTGTCTTCCCGCTGCGCGATGGGCTTCTGTCGGGTTCACGATTAGTGCCCAAGCAGCGATCAAGCCGCACATGTTAAAGGCAAAGGTCGGGATTAGTTGACCTAACCAACCCTTTCGGTCATGCCTGTACTTGGTTACGCACCCGTAGAGATGTTCCCACGCTCAAAATCTCGAACGGCGCGTAATAAGGCCCCAGGGCATGTACTATGCGCTACGCCCGCCTTCTTCCGCTGCTTTTGGAGAGGGGGTCTAATATTAGGCCTTCCTTGACGTTTTCTTTTCGTTTTTTCTTCACTGTCGTTCCACTTCGCACCTCTAAACTCAGTTTCAGGCGCCATAATACCCAAACACGAGCCCGACTTTTGCCTTTAAGGGCGTCTGCCGTCGCAACCTTTGCGCTCGCGCGCAATCGCTCCACAAGTACGAAGACTACGCTAAGTCTTCTACGCAGGGGAACCAACCGCAACCGTACGTTGTTGTTTTTATTGGGAAAGGGGGGAGGTGGGGGAGCGAGAACGGTCTTGTTTGAGTTTCTTGGAGGAGGGTCGCATTTGAATTTGGTTGAGGGATGTTGAAGAGGATCATACTTGGCGGTTTTTTAGTGATTTTGTTAAAAATTTCACGCGAGTGGCTCAAATTAGGCTTAACTTAAAGATTCGTCGTTTCTTAGGACATCTTTAGTCATACCTAGTCCTTCAGCCCGGCAATTTTGGAGTGTTAGAGCATGCCAATTGGTCTCAGAGTCATTGAAGCGCTTATGGTGATAAGGATGGGGGCCGGGTGGAGGGAGAGCCCTCTAAGGCTGATGGTGTTGGTGGTGAGTGCTTCAAGAAGGCTCCAAAGAAGCTAATGGCGCTAAACGCTCTATTATTACTATTTTTCATCTTCGTGAACTTTTATAAAATCACAAACTCGTGCAAACCTCAAAGGCGTTTTCCTATTCTGGTTTTCCATAGTATCGGGTTCCACGAACGCTCTTCCTATTCCAACCTACAGTGAGCTTCTTTATAAACACATTCAACACATTGGACCCTGTTATAGAAACTTTTGAAACAGTAAATACCTCCCCTTCAAAAAGCGAGAAAGTGTCGGGTGCAGACCATGCACCACAAGTGACGACGGCCTTCACAAAATGTTAATGTTTTCTGCCAATGAAATGATTAGCCTGTTGCAGTTGTATTCTATCGATTGTCACTAATTACAACTATCATTTACCAGAAATCAGCTATCACTATGAACAACTTCTAACCAGGGGCGGTATTCAATCCTTCCCCCAGGGGGATATATCCCCCTCCTCTGATTCAATCCTCTGGGGGGACAAAAAAGGGTTGCGTCATAGGACCTAGCATACCTCTGTGTTTCTACCTGCCAGACAGTTAGAGCAGCGCGACTACCCTCCACTGATGAAGCACTCTTTTCCCTGAGGGGTCGCGCTGCTCTAACTGTCTGGCAGGTAGAAACACAGAGGTATGCTAGGTCCTATGACGCAACCCTTTTTTGTCCCCCCAGAGGATTGAATCAGAGTAGGGGGATATATCCCCCTGGGGGAAGGATTGAATACCGCCCCAGATTTACTTGGAGGCCGTCGTCAGTTGTGGTGTTTGGTCTGCACCGACACCTTCTCGCTTTTTGAAGGAGAGGTTACGTAATTTTACCTCTTCCGTTTCCCTCCAGATTACTTGTGTGAAATAATTTGTTCCACACTGCCATCCGGGAGTTTCGTACTCGTATTTCTCATGTTCTTCATACCAATGTTCAACAACTGAAAAAAATAGCGCCACTGATCGCTTACTTCGGATTCATGCGCAACAGGCTTGCTGATCAATCGATAATGATTCAAAACGTGATTTCCTAGCATTAACACCTTTTGGCAATAGGAAAGGCGGATTTCTTCAAATGATTGTACATTTCGTGAAGTAAGACGATGGGAAATATTTTGTCAGTATTTCATAAAGTGGTTGAAACTCACTAGAATCAGGATCGAGATCGCGAGGGAAAAACGTGATATTCTCTCCTAACCCGCTCATCTCCTTATAGGTTACGTGAGCTTGGCGAGCCATCTTCTCGGCCCAGGCTTGCGCCTGCGTCGCCAGTTGATCGTTCCAGCGCAAGTCGGGTACGCCGTGCTGAACAACGATATGATGTAAAAGTATTTAACACCATTAGTTTTTTTTGCTCATATATTTTTGAAGAGCGGCTTTCTCGCTGTTGTAGGCTGCATGGTTTTTGTCACCACAATCTGTTGGCTGAAACTTTTGGTGCCGAGAACGCCTGTGTTGATGAGAAAAACAGGATTGAGAAAAATCTATTCTTATTTGAAAGTGGCACAGTGAAGGATAAACAGCCTTGTGAGCGAAAAGCCGGACAGCGGGAAGAGCATAGCCGGGACGAAGGGGGGGGGGAGGAGCGTCATAAACATTCAACTCATATTTTTTAGTCTTCATACATCACCTTCTGACCAAAGGATCTTACAATCCACTCGAGAGGCTAAACTTGGTTTCTCCCTCGTGCAAAACTTCGCCTCCGTCTTCCAGTCTCAGTCGAGCATGGTAATTAAGCTCAAAATTGAACACTGCGTTTTTTATGTCACATTCATAACAAGTGCTGCAAGAAACAATAAGTCTGCTAACGAGACTACCGTAGGAAGTCTGTTCTGAGCGAACAAGAAAAACGGAGTTGATCAGAAAAAAAAAGAGGATTTAGGAAATTTGATAGAGCTATGGCTATGGAAAAACTCAAGACAAAAACTCAAAGTCGGAGGAGTGGAGCCAATGCTGCAACCCATAGAGGTGGCAGGGTGCAACATTCATGAGAGTAAAGAATTTTCATTGAGAAAACAGCTTAAGAAAGTGTTTCCACAAAGAAGTAATGGTTGATAATATGGAATGAAGAAAGGAGAGAGAATCGGACGCCGAGCGGTCCTCCTTCTGAGATCGCCATGTGTTCTACCTGCTCAGATTTCTACTACATATCTGAACACTATTTGGCCTATATTGAATTGAGTGAGGATGGAACATTTCTAATAGCATCTGTCCTCTTAGGACGACTCGCATCACAGGACCAGCCCTAAAGAACACCTCCAAACGTGAAAGGCTTGCTTGACTTTAACGATTGAAGCAGCGTCGGATGGATAGACCGCTCTACGGACCTTTAGGCCTAAACTGTTGCATGTCTCCTTTGGAAATCTGAAATTGGCGACTCCCCCACGTGGTGTCCATGGGCCGTATGCTATCCTCCCCGAAGGGTTGGGGGACGAAAATTCCTTTAAATTTTCTCTGTCTTCCCAACTGGGATTGCCCTGATAAAGGGCCTACATTTAATGTATGTATGTAGGTAAAAGTAAACATGCACTGAAAATGAAGAAACTATATCGTTCAAACAAATAAATTTAAAGGAAACTTTGGATCACTTAGCTTCGGGGAAGATAGCATACGGACCCATAGGGTCGTTGGTATTGGTTCACCTTAGCAAACTTTGAAACTCCGCCTCCAAATCTCTGAATGTGCCTTGAGCGGTTTACATCGAACGGTTGGAATGGCGAAATTTTCGAAATTTTCTACAAATTTCATGAAAAAATCAAATCTCCCAGAAAAAAAACCTGTTTCGTCTCGTGTCTTCCGGCGTTCTCCAAGCACGACTAGGTTCCTTAGAATCACAAAATGCCCGGTGAGAAATTCCCGATTAAGCCAGGCCGAATGGTCCACTCCCCACGTAGGTCAGCTCTCCAACGCATGTCACCAACCTTGATCGTGAAGTAAATAGAGCAATTCATTCAGCACATACCTCTTTTCTTCATAAGTGTGAGTCCTCCCTCACCTGCCGCCTACCACTGTGTACAAACGAGTTTGCTCGAAGATCTAGACGCAGAGCCGCAACAAGAGTTACTTCGTAGCAGGACATTCATTTTGTAGTTGTCCATATTCTTTCGGATCATTATTTTTCATTTTTACCATTCCAGAACAAAAAAAAACACGATGAAGGGGAGAAGGCAATCTCGCTAAACTAGGAAAGTTCGGAATCCGTTCCTAGAAATAACTCCAAAGACCCATGTCAAGTCTGCAAGGTTCTTCCCTAATGGTTGTTGATGCTGAAAGCGCCTCCTCTGCAATTTCTTAAATGTAGTGACGACTAAACAACATGATTCTGATGTCAGAAAGATTTTACTCACTCCTGAAATCTCCTAGAAACCAGGTTACCAGTGATTTGATCGTATCTACGCTCGGGAATATTTTGCAGTAGAACTTCTGCCGACTTCATCTCTCTGTGTGAGACGCCAACTTCCCAGAAGCTCGCCATCACCAAAGTGGCTCTTTTTGTGCCCTCCTACCCTGCAAAGGCAAGCTGCAGGCCTGATGGGAGAAACGAATTTCAGAGCCTATCAGACTAATTCAAGTGCGATGCTATTCAGAATGGGATTAGGGTACTGAACAGGTTAATCAGCTTTCAATTCTCCCACCACCAGCTAGTTGTACATTTGAAAAAGCTTCAGCCTGCAGGGTGCTCTATAAAGACGGAAATTTCGTAGTTTGCGAAGATTGTATGATTTCGTTCTGCAACCCTTTGCATACCTCAACCGAAAGAGTCTTCTAGAGTTCTGAGCTCCATTTGAGCAATCCTATATGTGTGTTTTCTTCACAATCTAGTCGATCTCTGGGTTTCCAGTGTTCACATGAGCACAACAAATCGAACAGCCTCATCAAGCACCGCACTCAGTGTAACCACTGGCAATTTGTCGGAGAACTGAACAACAAGAAAAATGACGAAAGCTTATTTTTATCGCTGAGAGCTAAACTTTGGAATGCTTTTCAAAAATGTTTCCATTTATGCTGAATCTTTATTCACCGCTCACCGATAATATTCTAATTGATATGAATAAATCAAGTGTCAGGAACGTACATAGCCTGTTCTGTCAAATGTTCTTTTCCGTGGGGTGGGGATGGGTGAGTGGGGGGGGGGGGTTAAATACACAATTCTAATTGCAGTTCGACAGCTCTACCAAACACAGACCCCAAATGCTTTCGCTACGAGAGAAGACGAAGAAACCCACGGCGCAAGGGGGGAGGTGAGGGGGAGATGGTGACCCTGTTCGGGTCTGAAGTTATAAGAGTCGTTCTTGATACTACCATCATATATTCTCAAGAAACCGTGAGCTAAGAATAGAACACAAACTAAGGTTAAGGGGTCTCTGAAAAAAAAACTGAGATTTGTTTCCAGAAATTTTCCGACATTTCAGTAATTTCACCGGAATTTGCGAAAATTCCATTATTTTTCTCTTTATCCTGTAGCATCGTACGACTGTAGATGGTGCCAGGACATTTCCATACTGTGTAATGTGAATTCGCAGGAAAAAAGGATTCTAGATGGCCATAAATGTGTGATACCGCGTTGTGCGATGAGGGATGGTTGTGTTTAGTTTTCTGATTTCAATAACCAGGAATTCAATTCCGCTTTCTATTGAATCTTATCCTTAGTGAAGCTCATTCTTCGTACTTCCTTCTCAAAATATGTTCATTAGACGCTTTTCTTCTCATCTCCTTAAAAGGAAGAGCACGGAAGGGGGTAGTTATTTTACCAGACTGGCTTTCAAATGTGAGCGCCTGCGGAACGGAGGACTAACTACTTCGTTAGTATTTCTCCTTCAATATTTTAAGCGCACTTTTTGAGTCAAACTAGCCTCTTTCAACTATAAAGCTTCCTTTATGGAAAGAGAATTTCGTCCATAAGAACATTTTATACGCATTAGCAGGGAGGGCTTCGATGGTCCATTTATTTCATCTGGGCGCTTTTTTTATCTCATTAAAAGGAACATGGAGTAGTCTGGCCCACCAATAAATCCTATGCAGCACGGCATCGTTCCATTTTCGAATTGCAATATCTGCACACAAAAAACACCTGCGATTCCGACTGCTCCATGCAATGGGATTTATTAAGGTTTGTATAAAATATCCAGAACATTACTTCCTTCACATGCCATACTTCTGCTCATGAATTTGATAGAATAATTCATGAACATGATTTACTTCCAAGTACATCTAAAGGCTCATTCCACTTTTGCGAAAACAGAGGAAATACCATGCCTGAGAGGAAACGCTATTAAACCCGCCAGTGTGGAAAAGAAGAAATGAAACTACCAAGAACGGCCTGCATAAAACCCTCCTTTTTCTGGAAGGTAAGAGAGACTGGAAGACAAACGCCCTATAAGACACCGAGGGCTGAGGTTAGAGAACACCAGGTAAGTATGAGAGACTATAGCGGGAAGTGAGTCGCAGATACATAACAATGAGAGTGCGTGGACTGAGGATTGCAAAGCTGCCAGTTTAGGCCCTTATCCCCTTTTTCAAGGGTTTCTAGTAACGAAGGCTACCAACTGTCTGCTTGTGCACCCAGCGACCTTATTTCTGGAAAGGATTGAGCGAATGATCTAGCCGCAATTTGCTTGTATGAAAACACCCCCTCCCATTGTATGTGTATTGTATTAGGTTGTCTCATAAGTAGTGTCGCTTTTTTTCAACCAAAAAATTTTCATCTAAATCCTCATGCTTTTACATCGTGTTCATATACCATTCGAAAGAGAATTGTCTGCTCTACAAGATGTGAGTTTGTTTAGGAGTAAGGTGCTTTATCCACGAAAGTGACCGCATTTCTTTGAAAAAAATTATATTCCTGAGAAGATGAGAAAATCAACCAGGCGTACATTCCTAACTTAGTCATGACTTGTTCTTTAAATTCTACTAGTTTTTCAATGTCTCGGCTATAAAAAAATTTCGACCTAGATCTCAGGTAATGGTGCTCGACCGTCGAGTTCTGGTTGAAAAACCAGGTCTGGAAATGGAACGACGCGACTTGTTGGGAAACCTAATAGTGTAATGTTAGAAGAGGTCATGCATAAGTAGAGGGTACATCATTGATTGATTTCTCCCAAGGGAAGATAAAGTTAGAGATAGTTGTCGGTTTGGTCAATTTTTGTCGGCTGGACCTCCCATTTCGCAGGCCTAAAATTTGAAAACCCTGGAACATAGGTGGAAGTGGAACACAGCT